ATGGGGCTGTGGATTAGATCTTTGAAGTCAAAGATATCCATGAAATAGTTTGTGATGGTACATCCTTAGAATGGAGGAAAAAAATCAATATTAAATCTACGGGTTTGGCTCAGTTCTGCCTTGATGTCTTTGCTTGGGGAAAACTGCAATAGATTTCTTTTACCAAATTACTGTGAGTTCTGGAAAAATAAAGAATTAATTAGGAAACAGGACCACAATTAGCAAATAAATACATGAATAATAAATGAAAATAAGATACACGCAAATAAAGAAAAACACTGTTGCAGTGTTGATAGTTTCACACAGATGCTTATTGAGAATGCATTACTGTTTGGTTTTTTTAGTAAAAATCCTTTAGCTGATGTTGCTAAAGATGTGAATGGCAAGTTTTATGACAGAGAACTAGATTTTAGATCTGCCTGTAGTTTTGTGCAGGTAAATGGGATGTTGAGAGCAGCAAGGGAAAAGTTACAGAGAAAAAGCAACTTAACGATCCTACAAGAAAAATCAGTAAGATCCTGTAACGCTGTCTTGGAACAGAATATGATTACCTTTTTTATTTTTATTTATTCTCCAGGGAAAATTAAGTCCTACTTCTTTGATTTTATTTTGCTTGTGTGAAAACACAAATATTTGGAGAAAAAAGGAAGAACACGCACTAACCAGCACCAAAGTGTCAGCATCAAAAATCCAGATTAGTTGTAGGTTTTGTCAGTTATCAATCAACCTTATCATACTTTGAGCATGACTTGATTCTGTAAAGCAGGCTACAGGATGCAATTTCTGTGAAGCTCAATTATTGCCTCTCCCATGTCTTCATTTGCTTTTGATGTCATTATTCCCCATCTTCCATGACTTTCTGTGTATACAGGATGCCTAAAATACATTTAATTAAATAAAGTAGTGTGGGAGTTCTCAATACTTAATGGCATCATAGATTGTATTTTAATTTTGCTTTTTAATTTCCTGTAATGTTTCTGTAGAAAGGAAACAGATATAGCATTTCCCATACCTTTAAGTATTCTTATATGTAACCACCTCTAAATGCTGTAAAACCCTTGATGTT